ACATTACGGACTCCGACCTACGTATTTGTGTGTATGCATGTAAAGTTCCGTCCGTATATGCACGATAAAAAGGCACACAACAGCTGGAGAGAACGAAAAACTGTTTTATTATTCAAAAAATGAGATAAGGGGAATTTTAAGTGATACGGCAATACAAGTCATACCCTCGATAATTGGAAGATATTCACAACTTACAGTACTTTTCAGTGAAGGGAAGCTATGAAAGCATGCCGAACCCCAAATTAACTACCGCACAACGAACAACATCCTCTACTTTAGTTGTTGCGAAAATGAAATAATGCGAAAATGGTATCCTGAAATTATTCCGTAGATGAGCTGTTCCCTCCTGCCCTGGCACAGAAATGACTTATGCTGATCAATGGATGCAATCCTTCACTAAATTCCAAAAAACCGTTTTGGCGAGATGCAATTCGAATTTTATACTTAATGAAGAATTCGGATTTGATTTTTACAAAAGTTAGGACAACTTTATAATCTACTAAAAGACTGAGAAGTCGGCATCCCTTCTGAAACAGGAAAACCACAAAATTTGGTGGAACAGTCTTTATTAAAACCAAAACAGATTTCGAAAAATTGACTGACATTAAGAATTTGCCAAACATATGTTTTGGCTATTTTGGTTCCTGAACATTCATATTAATAAAAGTTCCTGCAAACCAGCCAAAACGTACTGGATTTATCACATAACAATACATAAGATTTTACGTAAAGTACCAGTAATTCAGACACATGGATCACTTTACATTTCAGGAGAGCATACATAGGCGCGAGGTCATAACAGAAAAATGCTAAGACTCAAAAGTCGATTCCAATCTTCTCAGCACTTTCACACGTGATCAGCCCAAATCTTAAAATCTCAACCTTCTCTCTAAGCTGCAAAAATGGCTTGAAATTTGAATAACATCACTGAATAGGATGCAACAAAACCAAAGCGCTTTTTCCATGCTATTTGTTCGTAAAATTTTCGCATACAATTTATATCTTTTAACGTTCTTATTATGAAACTAATCTGATCTCTAATCTGACATTAGTACAAAACAATTTGCAATGTGATCCGATACCCTTCAGGAATACAGTAAGACTCTGAGTTGCAGAAATTTCGGTCTGTAGTTTCATTGGAAATGGCGTTGCAGATATTTAGAACGCTGTTCATAGGTCAGGAAACAGGCAGAGAGAGGGC